GTCCCTAGGCGGGACTAGTAAAAGCGCTATACAAATACAGGCCATTTACCATTTAAAATAACTGTTTGTTCCAAAGAAAATTAATTAAACAGCCTGAGTAAAATAACATTATAACATTTCTCAAATGCTCCTTTATAAAGACAACCCTTAAAATGCAATAGTTCTGAACTGAGTCTGGCGTCGTCTAGAAAAAGATATTATTTGCAGGAACACACGAGTCTCTCTCCTCGATACTGACGTTCCTGAAAACTGATGTTTTTTGAATGGGGTCTGGTGGCTTGCTGTGAATTCAAAACAACAACAACAAAAATCCCTATCACATTTGTTCTGTGCAGAACTCTCAAAGCAAGTTCTTTATTTCTATAATTTTTAATTACAAGTACTAAAACACAAAAACTCGTGATACCCGAAGTTACTTTTCGATTAGACATTAAAATAATTTGACTTGAATTTGAGAACAAGTGTCTGACCTGCTGAAAGGGACTGAAGACGAAAATAATTTAGTAACTAAATCAGAAATAACCAGTCAACTCGACTTTTTTGTTTAGCGGAACTGAGCAGAAAACATCTAAGCTTCAGGAAAAAATGCTTTATCTTGTGTTTTTATGCGGCGGAATCCTGTCTGGTGCAGCAGCTCGACATTGTCGTGACCTCGAACAGAAAAACAAACAACAGAAACCTACGAACAGCTCCTGCCAGCGTGGACAGCAGTCCGGTCAGGTGACCCCCTCAGGTACCTTTTAACACCTGCAGTTTGGCCTCTTCATCTCGTTCTGCTCCCGCGGTCACAACCAGGTCTTCCTCAACTGTCATGTTGCTTCGGTCCGTTTCCGTAAAACGTCCGAGCAGAAACAAAGCAGCTAGGAACACAAGTGTGTTTATGTTAAAGGAGAACACAGAATAAACTTAAATGTACAAATAGTACAACAGCTTTATTTTATGATTTTTTAGTTTGTTTGGTTTTTTTCACAGAGCAAAGAGCCACAGAGACGGAATCCCGAACCAAAGATCGTCTATTTTTAAAAAAAGATTCTATGTCGGGCTCATACAGGAAGTCTCACTCCCAAACATTTTAAAGGACACAAAAAGGAATCTGTAGTCCGGATATGATTCTGATCCAGCGACCACAAATTAAGCGACCACTTTCAGTTACTTTCAGAAATCGCGAACCCGGAAATACGAATGATACTCATAGAAACTCACCAGTCAGCGTTTAAGTAACATGAAAGACAAAGCCCAGAGAGTACAGTAGAACAATGATTAATTATTATTAATTATTGAGGGCTTGCTAAATCCTCTCAGAGTGGATCACCACCTCAGTGGAGGATCTGTGCAGCTCTGCGGAGGATCGGGATGCTCTCCATGTCCTCCTCCTGCTGCTGCTGCTCCTCTTCCTCCTCCTCCTCGCAGACTCAGACCATCCAACACCCTGGATCCTCTCCCGTCCTCAGACCCGGACCCACGTCCTTAACCCGGGATTTAATCCTGGACTGCAGCCTGTGAGGGGCACATCAGGGTGCGAGGCGGGGGAGCTGGGGGAGCTTCTTGGACGTGGATTCAGCGCGCGTGCGTCTGACCACGAGTTCGTGTTTGTTTATAAAATAACGCGAAACAAAAAGCGTGTTTCTCCTTTTAAGATGACGGATCCGTTGTCTTTTTTCCGACTCCTTATTAAAAGATTCACGCGGAGACCCTGAACGCGGCACCGGCAGCGCGCGTACACCTCCGGTTTATGTTTCAGTCTTTAGTACCTGCGCGCTCACCTGTGTGGACGCATGTCTCAGATCCAGCACGCGGCTCTGGACCAGCAGGGCCGGTACAACCAGATCTGCACCCGTGGCGGCAGCTGCCCGCCCCCCGCAGACGGTTCCGAGCCGGCCCACTGCCCCGGCCACAAGAGCCGGAGTCCCCGCAGGAAGTGGCAGGTGTTCCCAGGCAGGAACAGGTTCTACTGCGACGGCAGGATCATGATGGCCCGGCAGACTGGGGTCTTCTACTTGACCCTGGTCCTCATCCTGCTCACCTGCGGCCTCTTCTTTACCTTTGAGTGAGTAACAGCAGCTTATAGTCTAACGTGTAAAGGTTTGAAGGTGACCTTTGACCCCAGCTGATGGCCCCTGTGAGGTCACAAAAATAAAAAGGCCTTAAAATCAAACTTCAAATATCCGGTTAAGAGTTTCAGGGAGGATTATTTTTATGTTCCTGAATTACTAAAAAGAACTAAAATAAACAGATCAGAGTCATCAATCTGGATTAAATTCACATTTTCTGAGTTAATTTCACCACTTCCTAATAATTTTAATAATTTAATGTTCTGTTTTTGATAATTTCACCAAAGTAGTTTGGAAAGATTAAAGTCTAATGTATCGTTGTGGGAGGAATGTTCTTTTATTTTGAAGCCATCATTCTGGTGCTTTTATTTTGGAGTTTTTGTCCAGCTTGGTGAAGAAGAGCAGCAGTTTTGTCTCTGAGCTCAGGTGTGTTTACCTAGATCAGGCTGAAGTCATCTTCAGTTTCTTCCTCATGTTAGAACTCGTGAAAGCTAAAAGGAGACACCGAATCCTCCTGACTGTTAATCTGAAAACGCTGAAAAGGGCTTTTGAGTCTTTCACTCTTTGACTTTTTGGGGCTTTGAGTCTTTGATGCTTTGGGTCTCTGCCCTGTGTGTTTGATTTTGTTGGGTTTTGTGTAAAAACAGTGAACAGTTTCGGGTTCAGCTCTAAATCTGAATAATTTATTTTTTAGTAGAAAATGGGAGTCAAACTAAATGATGCGGTGCTGTAATAAATCCTCCTTCAGGTTAGTTCCTTGGTTCATGCAGAGGTAATTATCCCGGGTTTTACCTCTGACCAGATTTAATAACAGTGTGAATAAAAAAGAAAAGAAAGTAGCCCTCAGGGACGTCTGGAGGGTTAATTTTATTTTATTTTTCTTCCTCCCACATTCCTCTTGGTGACTTCCCTTCAACAGCATCCCCGTGCTTCCCGTTTCCACGGCAACTGTCTCCTGCAGCTCATGTCACTACGGTAACAGCAGGAGATGGAATGGGGGTGGGGGGTTGTAAACCTGAGACGTCTCTGACGCCTCCACCAAAGACTCAAAGTACCAGCGTAGAAAGAAAAAGCTTGTTTGAGGCCCTGGTGAGAGTAACATGAATTTAAAAACATATAAACCTAAAGAATTCTGCAAACCAGATTCAAGGCTGATAGGCCGTATAGATACGCATGCACTGATACGTTACTATATAAAGTACACCGAGACTAAATTTCCTAAATGATCTGAAATGTAAAAAGTAAAGAAAAAAACAAACTAAAATATGTTTAAGCTCATTTCCAGCTCAATATATTTATTTTTGGGGCTCTTCTAGACTAGATTCTCTTTATAATCCTTTATTTTAAACATGAACCCTTTAGCCCCCAATCTGCAACCCAATGAGTAAAATATATGTAATAAATCATTCATGTCACTTTTGTTCACTGTGTTTGGTTCAGTACTGAAGTACATATACTAGTGTTAAAAATACTGCAGTAAAAGTTGAAGTACTGATTCAACTTCTTTACTCGAGTAAAAGTAAAAAGTACTGGCTCTGAAATGTACTTAGAGTAAGAAAAAAAAGCAGCTCTTTGGAAGGCGTTTCTATTTTTGGAAAAAGCTAACAGAGCTTTGTGTTATTATAATGTACTAATAAAATAGTATCAGTAGATGGGAATACAAACTTTACTTTAACATGTAATGCTAATTACACTCAGCTTAAATCTGCAGAAAAGAAAAGTAAAATAGAGATATTTTTGTTTTCTAGTGCCTCCATTGTAGAGGGGGACTTTACCTCTAAACAGGAAATGTGTACATTCATGGGTTAAAGTGGATTCAGCAGGTGTGTGTGTGTGTGTGTGTGTGTGTGTGTGTGTGTGTGTGTGTGTGTGTGTGTGTTTGTAGTGTACAGGTTGTGATCAGCTGACCTGCTTCTCTTTGTGGATGTACACACCAGAATTCAAACAGATGTGAGCAGATGTTTCCTGAGTTGTCCTGGCTGATTTCATCCTCTACTCTGACAGTACACTGTTTGTACTGTCTTTATATTAGACACTATACAATCATCATCAACTGAAATTCATATGAATCTCTGCTACACTTGATGTAAGCTAACTGTGACCATGAAACCACAGCCACTGTGCACCAGTCACACACTGTTCTTTACTGTAAATCCTTCACAGTGCAGCAAACTAACCTGTTTATCCTGCACTAACATGCAGAGGATTTTCGTGCAGTCTTTAAATAACACAGCTAGTCTGCCTCAGTTTGTTTAGCAGCAGGTTTCACAATATGAAAAAACAATGTCACATGTACAGATTTAAAAACACGAGGACTTACATGTGTGCTGTTAATGAGCAGTCCTTCCCTTTAAATCTAAGCACTCTTCTTCATCTCCTGTCCTGTCTTTCTTATCTTTCTCCATCTCTGAGTGAAGTTAGCTCTCTTTCTTTTCTCTCCCTGTAAAATACAGCAGCTGGATCTTTACCTAGCAACACACTGTGTCCTATTACCTGACACCTAAAAAAAGTTTCTCCCTTTATGCTCACTCCTCTTCTGCAGCACTAGCTAGATGCTGAAGTACCGGGAACACAACTTACCTGTAGTCATTTCAAACAGAAAATTGATCCTCTGCTTTTTAATATTTACATTTTTCACCTATTTAAGAATAAATCAATCATCAGAATAATGCAGATTACATCCATGACTGATTCTAATAGTTGCAAAGTTTCCTGTTGTGCTGTGGTGTTGCAGAGTACAGAGACTGTTGGTATAAAAAAGGAAAATTAGTTTTTCCTCCAGTTCATCCTTCAGAACCTTATTCTTCTCCACCAGCTGTAGAAACTCTTACATCAGTTTAGAGGAAAACTGTCTCATGGGATCCATTTTTGGGCTACAGCCCATTTCTTCTATATCCTCACCAGCTAGCCTCAGTTAGTTAGCTTAAACTGCTAACAGACTATAACAAAAGCACTGAGTCTCTGTAGTAGCTGAGAAGCTTCAGCAGAGCAGCATATGTTGTTTTTATCTATATATTTGAAACATTTATTAAACGCTTTATCTTTCCTTCCTTTCAGTATCACAGTGTACCGATTCATGTCATGATCCATGTCACCAGACTGTGGCCAAAACAAAATCCAGCTGATACCCACATTTGCCTTCCTGAGTGACCCAGAAGCCCCAATTCCACAGAGTCTGTGAAATACTAATGGCACGACCATTTTCACTCAACTTAAAAAACACCAGAAATGTGATTTAAAACCGTTTCTGTCCTCGAAGCTAAAAAACGAAGAAGAGACAGAAAAGCCTCCTGAAGTGTCCTGAAGAACTCACATTTGTTTTCATGTTTCTCTCCATGTTTCCTCAGCTGTCCTTTCCTGGCGTCCAACCTGACCCCGGCCATCCCAGCAGTCGGCGGCGTTCTCTTCATCTTTGTGATGGGGATGCTGTTCAGGGCAAGTTTCAGCGACCCCGGCATTTTACCCCGAGCGACACCAGACGAGGCCGCCGACCTCGAGCGACAGATTGGTGAGCAAAGAGCAACGGGCATTACGAGATGTTAGAAACATGGTCGTTATATGTTCATGTTCCTCTGCAACACTCACAAGTCTGATTTAATAAACATTTAACAGTTTCTGACAGAAAAAACAGAACTCATACAAAAACTGTAGATTTGTTTAAAGTTTGCTAACGGGGTTTTTCCTGAACTTTTCCCAGCATAAAATTACAGGAAAGAAAAAATGTTAAAGATTATAAGAAGACAAATTAATGGATTAAAATCTGAAAGAAATTTTCTGTAAAAGACACAAAAAAATTTGTATTAAAATATTTTTAGAAAGTGACCTTGATGCAGAGGTTTAGTTGCTGCTCGCTCGCTTTCTTACATGTTTCTGTGAAGATCAATCAGAAACATTTGATAAGTTTTACAGTTTATGGTAAATTAATGAGGCAACAGTCTGTATTTTCAGTCCTTTCAGTCCTTGATGGAGATCCCGCCTCATCATTAAAAGGACTGATCAAAGACTCTCGATGGGATTAAAATCTGGGCATTTTACTGGCTGTGAATCCAAACTGCTGATTTGATGATCTCCTCTCAGTGACGTCTTTGGCCAATTCTCAGACTATCACCAGACGGCTCCTGAATGATGGAGCGAGCTGGTGTTTGAGGACATTTTTAGTTTGGTTCATCCATAAAAAAGCTGGTGAGCTGAAAACAAAATAAAAGTCTGCACCCTTTCAAAGTAAAATGCTTGGATTAGATAAAGGTGAATGTGCCGAGTCACTTCATCACAGTTCTCATGATTATAATGAGCACTTCACAGGTTCAGCGTCTGTCAGAGGAAAGAAGAAGAAATCAGACTCACTAATTATCTGAGTCACTGCAGGTCTGTTTGTGTGTCTGTCTGTGTGTGTGT